CAAGAGATCCTGTTGGGAATGTCCTCTGTCCAGGAATAACCCAGTTTGTGACTATCTTGCCCTTTAGTCTCATTATGCAAGAGTGCCATTATAGGTATTTTTTGTTAGCAGAATGTCTCTTTGAACAGCCTTTTTAATGTTACACTTAGCTTTTCTAAATACTGAGGATAAAGTTGTATTAATTTTTAGAAAACAGAATAGTGTGTGACATTCTTAAAAAGAAAGAAAACAAAACCCCCATTTTTGTAGGGGTTTTCAAGCACCCCTGTGGCTGCTTTTATGGATATTACTTAACAGAAAAATTTTGTAAGCCTGAGCTCCTCCATCACAATTAACAAGGTAAACTCTAGAGAAAACAGGAATTATGATTATGCCTGGAAAAAGCCTCTGAAATGTCATCTCAGCTCATTAAGACCCCATTGCAGATATTTGACTGCATTTCATAGGAAAAACTGGTTTTGCATTTGGAGTTTCTTCCTGCCACTGGATTTTGGACTGCATCACTGCACTTCTAAATATTTTGTTTTCTCTGTACTCTTTGTATTTGCTTCATATGACTTTGTAATTTAGTGAAACAAATGACGGGGGGAATATTTCATCTTCTAACAAAATGGTAAAAAAGCACTAACTCTTTATTTTCAAACCTTTTTATATCTGTGTTTGTTTGTTTGAAAGTTGTTTATGTAGGCATTAGAGTAGATATTTTATAAACAGGGGATATTTTAAAAACTTAATGTTAAAATCAGCAGTTTTAACTGCTTTTTCCATTGTTGGTTTTGTTTAAGCCTGGGTCAGGATGTGAGTCTGCTTTAGGTTCTGACATGAGCATTTCTTCATCAAACCCTGTTCATATTGCCTTAAAAATTTTAAATCATTATTTTAAAAATGCTGCATTAGAATTTACTGAAGCATATTCAGATTTACAGAGTTTTAGTGTTCATCTTTGCTATTATCCCTGTTTAGTTTTCCTTGTGCGTTTGACCTTGTAATAATGTAAAACAAATACTATAAAAGCCATTTAAACCCTTAAGTTACAGGGCTGTAAAAAAAACTTAAGTTGCTTGAGCGAGCATAATTATTGTGATTTTTATGATACAAACAACTAGTAGTAATGACCTCTATCGTACTGTGCATCTGTGGCAAGGTAAAGAAGAAAAAAATATATGAACCCTACTGCAGATTTGAGTGAAATGGTCTTGAAGTGAAAAATATTTGTCACTTTACATAAATTAAAACATGTTTTTAGCAAAGGAAAAGCTAAAGATTGAATCCCGCAGTCTAACTGATGCAGTCTTACCTTGTCCAAAATTAGCCAGGAGACGGCAGCATAATAGAAATAAATCGCGGGTCTCCTTGTCCTTCAGCAGGAGTCGGTGTCCCTCATCCTGCGGCTCGTGGAGATCCCTCGGCGAGGGGGTTAAACATTAACGGGGATTGTTTTCATTTCAACTTCCCTCCGACTCCCCGCAATGTTTAGCATATTTATCCTGCAGCAAAGCTCTCCCTGCCTTCAGAGCCGTCCTTTGCTTCGCAGCAATGAGAGAAAACTTCTCATCCCTGCTGGAATCAGCCGTGCAGGGCTGGGCAGGACATCGCTGACGATTCCAAAGAATTGCTTTGCCCCAGAGCCTTTAACCCCCGCACCTCACCGAGCGTGTGGATGGAGAACTGGGAACCAGCCTCCTCCTCCTCCTCCGCCTCCCCCAAGTCCTTAACTCTTCGCCTGCTGAAACTTTCCAGTTTGTAGCAAATAACTACAGCTGGGAGCTGCCTCTGGGTGTTTAAACTGGAAGCTTAAATGAAAGGTCTCCGTCACAAACTGAATGTTTGCCCTTACTGCCCGTATAAAGGTTCTTACAGGTTTTAATAAACCTTAAAGGTTTAAATAAGTGACGAGTTAGTGGCTTGGATTTACTGGAATTAGGAAGCTTTGGGGTTCTAGAAACAAGTGAGAAGGGTGGTGTGTTTTGGACACGTTTTGATAAAAATAGCGTGTTGGTCAGAAATAAATAGGAAACCTCAAAGTAAATTAAGTCACAGCTGCAGGTATGGCAGGTACAAAATAATCATTGACTTCCACAGAAACTTTTTAAATAGAGGCTTTGGCTTGAACTGTTTTTGTGGTAGATGCTGCAACTCCTGAGTGAAAGTTCCCATTCTGTGAATTAGTTTGTAGGAGACTTTCCGCTTGTCCCAAGTTGTCCTTTACCCTCTGACCTGTTGTTTGTCTGGGTGGGACAGCAGTGTCGAAAGTTATGTTCAACAAATCTTACACTACTGATCTTTTAATGGATAAACCTCTGGCAAACTCTCTCAGAACATGTTTTAGTTAACTGTGATAAGAGACAATAATCTTTAATACGTCAGTTTGTGTGGCTGGGAGATGAACAGTGATATGTTCTGTGGATGTTCAGTCTCTGTGTTTGTTCAGTCCTCAATACCTGCCCTGTTTAATGAGTAATTTCGCTATTTCTTTTTCTAGTTAAACAGATTATACCAAAGCTAATATACCTGTTACAGCTCATAATACCTTTATTGTTCTAATTATTTCAAATTTTGGGGGATGGATTTGGTTTGGTTTTTTGAGGAGTTGATTTGTGTGTATATATGTCTGTATGTACACGTGGGCTATGTACACATGCACATATAGGGTGCATAAATTTCTGAGTATCAGACTTTGAAGACTGATCATATCTTCACCTCTTTGAATAATTCCTTGATGCAATGGTGTTAAGCCATTTAGATATAAAAAGTTTTGAACATGCTTCTATAATTGAACCCTGCAAGGGCTTTTGGACCAAAATCACGCTGCTTGTGCAGCTTCTCCCTCCTCCTTGACATCCCACTCTTCAATTACAGATTAAATCTTGGATTTGGATCTGCAAACTGCTCCTCTAATGCTTTGTCCATTGCAGAACAGTTTAGAAGTTCAGTCTCATTTAGGAATGTCTTCTATTCAAGGTGCTAAGAACTACAGCAAGTACTTTCGTAGGTGTTTAAAGTGCCAAGATAAACAAGGTACAGCAAGGAAGAACCTGTGATATTATAAAACAAAGCTCTACCCCAAAAGACCTTAATTAATGTGAAGGAACAGTCCTTCTGGATTTGCAAAACTGAAATTTCTTTCTGCTTTTTGTCTCATTATCAAAATGTCAAAAAAATCTTTCCTTTTTTTGCATGAAGAGATAGTGAGCTTTTTACAAAATCAGAATTAAAGCTTTGCACCCAGCAGAACTGACATTTGATGCCCTGTATGATGCAACAGCAAATAGTCCCTACAGGAGATAGTGAAATCCAGAGAGGTGAAGATGGTTCTGTGCCTATAACTTGCTGTACTTCAAGTATGTTTGGAAGGGGATGGTCTCTGTGATATAATCCAGCTGTTGTCATGGCAAAAAATACCTGTTTCAGGGAATGGAAAGAACACACTGTCTATATTTCCCTGTTTCTTGTAAATACTTTTCATTTTTGAACAATTCCACCTGTGTTTTCCAGATGGGAACCTGGATTCACTTGCTCTTTCAAAATGCTGCATTTATTGAAAGTAGAGTCCTAGTGACAGAATGTGCTTTTTAAATGCTGTATGAGGAAACACCCCACAAAAAATGAATGTGGGGCTTCTTTAGAATCAAATCAGCTACCAGTTGCTCCTGCCTCAATATGAAGACTGTCTTGATTTTGTAGACATCTCCCTCTCAAGTGTCTGAGATCATTCAAGGCTGGTGTTTCTAACACTGGCTCATTGAGTAGGAATGGAAAAATTTGGGCTACTCACCCATTTCTTGTGTTTGACTTATTATTCTGCCTGATTTACTTACTCTGCCTCTCTCTAACCCTTGTTTCTCCTTCATAATCTCTGACCACTTGTGTACAGGTTCAGTTTTTAAACTGTGCTCAGCACGTGAGCACACTGTGGACAAAGTACTGCCCATATGTCCTTTCATTTGTTTAATTCCTACTGCAAATACATGAGTAACCTTTCTAAACCTTTGTTCAGAAAACAGAAGAGTAATGACAGAGGCAGGATTATAAACTAATCTTGCAGATTAACAGAAAGCTTCTGGATTTAACAAAATAACAAAAAAACCCATCCCAAAACAACCTACCAAACAAAAAAGCCAGCAAAAAAAATAAAAGGAAATTGAGATCTTAGAAAACCTCATAGTCAAATGTACTGGTGCACCAAATGATTGAAAATGTGCACAGTGAAACATCTGTGTTTTCAACCATGGAACAAATATGGAATCACACGAAGCACGTTGCATCCATTATCCAGATTAATTTCTGAAAATACTTTGAAACTTGGGAGTGTTTGATGATTCAGATGAAGGACAGTGAGACAGCAAGGCAAGGTGAATGATTTATTCTGCTTTTATGACCTCTTTTTATCCCTATAGTAATATACTAATAATATTGTTGTTGTTTTGTTGTTGCTGTTGTTGTTATTGTTTATTTATTTATTTAAAAGAAGGCCTCCAAGTTCCCAGGTGCTGTCAGTTCTACATGTAGAGGAATAACACTTTTGGTGTTGTCCTTACTCAGTGTAAAGGAACTGCTCCTGTCAGTTGTTGTTTCTCGTATCACTGAGTTGAAAGACAAATTCTAGAGCAGAATTGGTTAGATCTTAATCAAATGCTTTCATAACTAAAAATCAGAAAGTGCTTCTGAGTTTTAGCTGTGGGGTTCAGAAACTAGAGTAGATTCTACTTAGAACTACTTTGTTTAAGTACATTTATGCCAACAAAACAACCCATGAACAGAAAATACCCTATGGGACTCTTTTTAATGAAAAAAAAAATAGTTAGTTCAGGGTGTTGTTTATAAGAGACAGAGAAATAAATACACAATTTCCATCGCCATTTGAAGTAAGAAGCTGTATTAGACTGTATTAAAAGAGAAAGAACACAGTATTAATTTTAACAAAGGTTCACCAGCATAAAAATCTGGAAAATAATACTAATTTTGTTCTGGTTTTGTTTTTGTTTTTTTTTTCCACAAAGTGTGGTGTTCCCTTCCAAGAGGAAGATGTGATTATCCTTAATGGTAACAAGGAAGATGTGGAAGTATTGAAGAAAAGGATGGAGGACAGAAGACTTAAAAGTAAATTAGAAAAGGTAATCGTTTCGTATGTTATTTAATACAAAATTGAAAGAATTCTTATCTGCAGTGCAATATGCTCTTAAATTTGCTAATCTTTATGCAGATTAAAGACTTTAGTCAGTGAGCTGTGTTGTATTTAAGCACTACTTTTAAAAGTAGTAGGGTTGTGTGTGTGTTCTGCCAATGACATATTGAAGTTGTATGTACTGAAAGTTTCTGCTGACCAGCAGGCAGTGCCCAGTGCTCTGGAAATCACTGAATTCCGTGCTGTGGGTAACATGGACAATGTGCCAGCCATACTTCAGGGTTTTCTTGACATTCATTCATTCTAATAATGATCTACATCGTCCCAGTATTTCATGTGGTAGTTCCTGGTGACAGGTTATTGGTGTTTTAATCTCCAGGTCTTTTCTATTGGCCACAGAAACACGATATTGGGATCTGTACATTCCTGGTGTGATGCTGTAAGACCACAGTATGGAAATTTTGTCATGTTTTGTGGTTCTCACAATCCTCAGCAATTACTGCAGTGCTCATTCCCTCCATACTGTTGAGATCTTTGCATTTTTTATCTGACCAGGCGAAATACAATGGAAATAAAGTCATTGCAGCTCTGTGTCCTCTCTGCTGTGTAACTACTCCTCTGTGGAGTATTAGTAGTTCTGTGGCACTGAGCAGTCAAATGACAGTTCTGCATATGGGAATTTTTTCAGCCTTGCTGTTTTTTCCTGCCCTGCCATTGCTGTTCTGGAGGATGACAAAGCAAACAAAACCTTCAGTGCTGACTCAGGCCAGGTGCAGACAGACTTTGCTGAATCTCAAGAGCATGAATCATTGTCTGACACTTCCAGCAACTGAGACTTTAGATGGAGGTTGATCATCTCACCCCTGTTACTGCTCTAGATTTTGTCTGCTGTAGATTACGTGGCATGCAAATATTTTCCTGGTTTGTTTTAAAACAAATACTTGTTTACTTGCCAGTGAGCATATGATTCCTTCTCATCATAAGATCTTTATTCATCTGTGCCAGGACAGCATCAGTGGGCCTGGGCAATACATCAAAAGGATGGTTATCCATAGAAATCCTGCTGTGCTGTTTCCACTCTTTCATAGCCTCTACATGTCATGTCCTACAGCTCCTGGCATAAGAGCAAAAACCTCATGATGTATCTTCAGATGTTTTTTCTTATTTTTTTTTCTCTCAGTACTTAGTACTTAAATGTTTAAAAAAAAGTACAGATAATTTGATGATAGACTATTGCAGATTTCAGCAGATGAGTGCTCAGCCCCAAAAGCAGTGATTGCTTGCACTTGATTTTCTTTAAGAGGATGGTCCTAACAAAGCACCTCTAGCTTTGGGTCAGATAATTTGGAATAGTCTGAAGGCTGGTGCTGTCCCCAACTTTTACACAGCAAAGAGGTACCTGAGGGTGTCGAGCAGTCCTGGCTCTTACAGTGCCAGCACAGTCACTGTGGTGACAGCCAAAAGGACACCATGCCTTGGTCCTTGGGCTCTCTATGCCTTGGGTGAATATGCAAATGCTATTTGTTTGATCTGTGGAGACTTATATTACAGGCAGGGAACAGGATTTGCCAATCTCTCAGCATTTAATCCTCAAGTTCTGATGTTGCTGTCCCAGCTGGTCTGTGCAGCTCAAACCAGTCTCTGTGTCACTGGCACCATTCACTCTGATCTGAGACCTGGGAGCTCCAGTCCCAGTATGAGAGGACAACTTCCAGTTTGTTGGCACAGATTTCTTCCTCAGTTTCTGCAGAGCAAGCTAAGTGGACCCCCTGTATTTGGAGCAGGAAGCACAAACTCCTTTTCTTTGTCTCCATCAGACAAAACATCAGGAAGATGCACCAGCACTAGCATAAAAAAATTATTCAAGCTCGACTGTGTCATGTGTGCCCATAATGAAATGCATCTGTACTCTGCATTATGCATAAAGAATGTATGCATCCATACATTTACAAACATCTCGTGGTTCAGATGCCAGACCCTGGGAGGTAACTTTTCTTTGTCAATCCACCCATAACAAAAAGGTGGAAACACCTGCACAGGGGTTTTTCAGACACCCTGAAGGCCAGGTTGGCTGGGTCTTGGAGCAACCTGGGCTAGTGGAAGGTGTCCCTGCCCATGGCAGAGGGTGGAACGAGATGAGCTTTAAGGTCCTTTTCCAGCCCAAACCATTCCATGATTCTGTGACACCAGGAGAGCCAAGTTTGCTTTCAGAGCCATAACCCTCTGCCACCACCTCCTGGCTCAGCTTTGCAGCAACATTTGCAGTGGCATTTTTTCCCTCAAGCATTAATCCTTTGCTTCACAGCGTGGGTTCTCCTAGTTTTTATAACAGAATTAAATAGATTTATTTCCTTGGAGTTTGTGCAGATGTCTTGAAACATGTACACCATTCTGAATGTATCCAGCCATCTTTTGTGAAAACAATGCTAAGGACTGTTTTAATACATCTTTCTTTTTCAGCTTAGCATTTATGTAATCAAAGCCAGTAGTGGGATTCTTATTGCTGTAGTTTGGGTTTTTCTATGGTTTTTAATCTGGAAAAACATAAATTAATTTGGAAAATCTGCTGCACAGATGCTTTTAAAAGATTTAGATCAACTATTTGCATCTCTTCTTCCCAAGCAATCATGCAAGAAAGGACCATGTTACTGAAGATTAGCCAGGAGGGATTTTTTATCAGCTAAATAAAATTAAGTGGATATGAGATGCAGGATTCTTCTGGAATTTTTATAGAAAATATATTGATTACAGTTAACTGTCCTGTTTAATGTTTTGCAATTTACTGTCCTGCTGTGTGGGTTCAGAGTATCAGATAACCTTAATGATAATAACACACACCCCTGCGAAGTATGAAAACCAAAATACTGAATCCAGGCAAATCTAGTTTGGACCTACACAGTTTTCTTTAATGTAACTCCAGGGTTCCCAAGATTATTCTTTTTTTCCACATAGAAATAATACAAAAAATGTGGAAGGAAGAGTTCCACTGTGTAAGACATAAAAATGTACTAAGTGAAGCTGTGTGTCTATGGAATAAAAGTTGGGAATTGTACATCCTTTCAGGATGTTACCAGGACTCTGCTTGTGTTGTTTCAGAAATCAAAGAAATACAAGTCAGCAGGTTCAGCTTCTCAGCAAGAGACCACTGAAGGTAATGTCCCAGCTCCAAATTCTGTGTCACCTTCTGAGTCATGAAGCAGATTCATGATTTCATTTTTTTTTGTTCTTCCCTTTTTTTTTTTTTTTTAGATTCTCCAGGTCCCTCAAAAGCTACGAATGGAAAGGATTTTATCAATTCCAGCTCTGGGGAAAAGAGACAGATTATCTTCACCAAAAGCTCAGGTTGGTGTTAATTCTTTAATCTTAATGTGAAAAATTTGGACAGGTTTGCTTGTCTATGTCATTCTAATATTGCTTTAAGTTGGTGGGAACCATCCTGAATGATTGAAATCAGAGATTCTTATTCACACAGTGATGCAGTCGAGGATTTGGTGTGTCTGTCTTACTGTCTAGGAGGTAGTGGAGGAAAATTAGTAGTTTCTTGAGGTACAAGTGGTCAAGAAATACATTCTGGCAGTTTATTTTGGTGAAGTGTGTGAAAAATTCCTGGTTACCTGACTTGTAGTCCTCCTTTTTAGCTGCTAATTTGCTCTGTGTCCCTGGGAGTAGTGGAGTATAATTCAGGATGCACTGATGTACCTACAGCAGCCTTGCAGCCATGAGTAAAATTGGCAGCCCTTTAGTCCCAAGGATGGTGCCCTCTCTTTATTCAATATATATCCTGTTATTCAATGTCTGCAGTTCATACTGATGTTTTCATACCAAACTATAAGAATGGGTACATCTTTAAGGTCAGTCTGAGTTTCCTTTGTAAAGTATTAAATCATGTCCGTTACAGCCACGGAAAAAGTCAGAATAATTGGAAGAATCTGAAAGTGTTTAAATGATAAACTGTGGGAGAAATTCCATCTGCAATGCCTGACCTGCCCTCTAGTGTCTGCTTTTATACAGGATAGGCTTTTAAAAATATTTCATTCTACATAATTATGATTGCTCTTGGATGTTTAGCAGCCTCGGAATTCTAATAATGTTTAATGAGCTTTTATTTTCTGACAGTGTAAAAGAAAAAAATATACTTTCTGAAATGTCAGGTCATTGGTTTCTGTTTCTGACAGCAGTTATATTGAACAAGAGGTAAGAGGAGAGAGGGAAAATAAAGGAAGATCCATGGGGAATGCCAGTGGCACAGAAATGAATTTGTGAACACGGCACCCTGAGGGTTCTGGACTTGCAGCACAGTCATTCTTTCAAATCCAGTGCTGGGTAATGCTTTCCAGACAACTATTGGTGGCATTACAAGTAACATTCTCCAAATATAAAAGGGTTTCATCTGTGAGGATTTAGGATTGCACATACAATTCCTGTGAGCAGAAGGCAGCTCAGTGCATTTTCAGACAGGCTCCCCACAGCTATTTACAAGTTGTTGTGCCTAAATTAAACTAAGGATGTTGAGTTTCTGCAAACTTCTCTGTTCATTTCTTTGCACCAGAGACTTGGCATGTGCTTTTTCAAATACCACCCTGCAAATTGGGAGAAGATTCAATAGTTGTTAAGAAAGGGAGGGATTTTTTTGTAGCAGTAATATAATCCACTGAGAGAAGTGGTATCAGAAACAGAGGGATGGGCATTTTCCTACTACAAATATAAAATGGTGCAGGCCATTGTTACTGTTCATAAATGACTTTGCAAAGAATAAAGGGAGGAGAGAGATTCCCTGGGGAAGGTATGTGACAAGTTTAGCTTTTGGCATTTGATAGCTAATTTCTGAACAATACTGCAGGGTGGTGGGATGCTTTCATGTTTCTGAAGACTAGGGCTCAGAGCCATTTTTCACTTAGAGGAATAAATATTGTCAGTACTGAATTGCAGTGCAAGGGATTTACACAAATAGGAAAGAATTCTTCTTTCAAGATTTCTAAGTGAATTTGAGTGTGAATTCTGACAGGTGTTGAGTACAATTTGAGATATTTATGATAGAACTCAGAAGTGTAATGTATTTCATCTCTGTACATTATTTTTAAAATACTCTTTTTCATCTTTATTGAGGTCCTTTTATCAATTTTAAGCTGTTATTCATGCTTCACTCTGTTCCTTTTTCTCTCCCAGAAAATGGAAATTCATCTGTCTCAGCAAAAGCCAATAAGGCTCCTTCTGCTACTACGAAGAGACCCATTGCAGACAGCGAGGAGAAGTCTGAGGCGTACAAATCTATTTTTACAACACACAGCTCAGCAAAACGTTCAAAGGAGGAGTGTTCCAATTGGGTTACTCACACAGCTTACTATTTCTGAAACAATGAGCAGCCTGATTGGAACATCCACTGCTGCTTTCCTTCCCCAAGGCTTTTTCTGTACAACTCTGATACTTTCGTCGTAATCTGATATTATCTGGAATTACTCGGTTTGTAAGTTGTTTGTAAACTTGCTAATAACTAATGAACTCGTGTTAGTTGCAACTTCTGTTGAAGAAGAAATAGATCACCAGAATCCACGTTGTAGCAGCAGACCTCATTCTAAAATGTTGAACTTTTCGCACAGAAATTTTTCTTTTCTCGTTCCAATTGGGTGTTGTCATCCTTATTCACACAGGCTGTGTCCTCAGGAGGAGGAAGGGGAGAAGTTTCTGCCTGCTCTTCTCCTCTGTTGATTCGTGCCACACCTGTAATTAGAGTTTTCAAAGTATTAGTACAGAATTCAAACTTCCTGCAACTCTCTGACAGCAAAAAGAGCAATAATGCTGTTTTTCCTTGAAGCTAACTGGGCCCTTGGTAGAACTAGTGTGTGATCCTAAAAGGTTCTGTAGGTGTTTTCAAATCATTTACCTTTTGACAGAATATATGAGAGCACAATCATGAAAATGTTTGTGCAGCATTTTTCTTATACATATTGTTGTAGCCTGTTCTTAGTAGCAGAATATTTGCTTATAAATCTTATCTTTAAAGAGGAGCCTGTAAGAAGGCTGTTGTTTTCCCAGCAAGGTTTTGGGGTTTCTTCTTTGGGTGTGTGGTTTGAAATTGGAAGTATCAGGTGGGAATTTGCTTCCTTTTGTCAGAGGATCAGGGTACAGTGGAACAAAAGTATGGGATTCTTTACTTTTCTGCTGGAACAGTGAGGTTCTGTGGCCATCTCAGAGGAGCAATTTGCCATTCTGAATTTGCACATTGTTTTATTTTCTGACCTAAAATTCTGAACAGCAAACAACTGTTTGACTGTTAATTGTTACAGAAAGATGCTCAGCACAGTGTGTCACCCAGTTCTGCTTTCATATTTATCCCTTTGACATTGATTTAAATAAAACTTGCTCTTGTCATATGACCATAACATTCACGTTCAGTTGAACAGGTATGTAAGTGCTTTTTTTGTCACTTGGAACAGAGCAACTTTTTATGGCTTTCCTTTAGCCATTTTAGTCTTAGCTGTTTCCCCAAATGCAGGAATCCTTTTAAAATGTTCATGTTCCATTGCATTAATTTAGTGGCTGAATATTTGAATCCAATAATATCTACATGAAATGACCAGAGGGAGGGATGGAAGTTTTTCACCTTCCTTTCTCCCTCGTTTAAAATTGAAATGTGTTTTTTAACCTTGGCACCAACTAACCAGAATAGAAATGCAGAAACTGGGAGGCTTTTAAAACCCCTGCATCATGTTACCTTTGTGTGTGAAAATTATTAATTATCCTCATAATTCATTTTTAAAAGTGTCCCCATTTATAATTGGGCAATAGTTAACTGAAGATTCAAATGCTGTGTTGATATTTGCATAGGTGGTCTCTGTGATTCAAGCAAGGTGAATGAAACTGCTGGGATTTTATTATTATTTTGACAGGTATAATTAAAAATTGGCTTGTTGTAGAATTTATATGGTGGTAAGAATTTTTGTTTTCCAAAGCTGTGAATGCACATATCCATCACATCAAACACTTTGAGGTTTACTGGAGCTCCCAGGAAGCCACATTTTGTATGCATGTCTAGGAATCAGCTTTGTTCTCCCTGTTCTATATTCTTTTCATTATTATCCTTTATTACTTGTTGCTTACAGATAATGAAATTACTGCACTAACAGGTGTACCACATCAGGTCCTTTATTTGCAGTGTAATTGTTTGACAATACACGAGTGCACTTTTCTTCTAGTTATAATTCCTAAGGAGAATTAAATTAATGCTTTTCATTTAGCTATTACTTTGCTAAAGAAGTAGCAAAATATTTAAAACTATTTCTTACTAATATTCAGGCAGAGTCCAGCTTCTGGTAACAGACTTTCCTGCCCATTGGGCCATTATAGTGACTTCTTTTTTCAGTTTGATCTGCTCAGCTATTAAAATAATTTCATGATTGGCATGATTTAGTTAGTGTACAGGTTCTTCCTGTCCCTTTGGGTTTATTAGATTGTGCTGTGTCACTCTGGGAGGATTGTGTTCAATATTCCACCATCCTGACATGGTGAATGGAAGTCCTTAAAAAGTTTATGGTTTGTAGAAGTGTTGGCAGTGAGTGCTGAGGGCTTTTCCTTCCCTTTTCAGAAAACCAGCAGTGAAGGAATGTGATATATTGCTGGCATGTGATGCAATTCCTGGCCACAATTGACTGTTGTTAGTGTAAAACAGAGGAGCCCAAACTGACACTTGTGCTCTTGGCCGGGATCGGCGGCGTGGACTGGAACGTTGACTTGGCAAGTTTTAATGGATTCAAGTGAATAGTTTGCTGGAGGATGTTTGCTTTGTTGTGGTTTGCTTTTTGTTGGGGAGGGCAATTTAATTTTCTTTTAATGTAGGTGAATTTGAATGCTGATGAAAGTTGAAAACTGCAGAAGTCTTAGAATCTGAAACCTATATTTTTTTGAGATGCCACATAAGTGTCCCGCAGCATTGCATCCATGTGTCTGTTCCAGGGAATTCACAGAACAGTTACTTTTGTTTCCATGATGTTCAAGCCTTGGCCTCTCTTCTGAAGAGCATAAAAAAGGATCCAATTAGTGTCAGTTGCATAATAGGGGGATGTTTTTGTGATGTGGAACCTGCCCACTGGGAACTGGACTGAAATTCAGCCCAAAGATCAAACGCTGGTCGTGAAACCTGGCCCAGATGTGCATGAGTGGAAAGGGGCTGGAAAGCTGTGTATCCTGAGCCACAATCCTGGGATGTGGCTGGCTGGCTGCACACTTGCAGAGGTTCACTCCTTCCAATATTGGTGCCTCTGAAGCGAAAAATCTGAGGGTGTTCCCACATTCAGAGCCGGCGATGGATGTTCAGAACTGCAGCTCCATTCCCTGCTCACACCAAATCAGGTGGGATATTTCCTGCTGTTTCGTGGGATTTCCAAAAACTACCTTTTCCCCTTGTCCCAGATAATCCATAACAGCATCCACAGCCTCAGACTCTGTGGAGCAGCTGTGGTGTCCTGCTGCAGGTGACAGACACCTCCCTGTGCTCACCTGTGCCACATGCGGATCCATGAAGGGAACCAGAGGTGCTGAGAACTTGGCATTTTGGCTCCATGGAGAACAGTGAACCTTGCACACCTTGATCCTTGCTCCTATCCTGGAGCTGACAGAGGTGGGTTTTAGGGTGGATTCCTGCCTCTCCAGCCGTCTTTTTCCAGAAGACTTCTGAAAATGGCTTGTGTTCAAAGAGTTTTATATCTGTGAATCTTAGTTGAAATTAAACCATGTTTTATAATGTTGCTGGCACAGGGGAGGGTGTAGCAGCCATGAATCTCTGGAAAATAAGACTAAAACCCTTCAGAGAAAAAGCAGTGCCCCCAGCAGCCATTGGGGAGGCAGAGCTGAGGAGGAATATGTAGTATCTGTTCTGGAAAGACTGGAATTAGTGACATTCTGCTGATAAAATTTAGCTTCAAGGGTCAGACTTCATTCTGTAATATGTTAATGTTTATTTTCCATTATTTATTTTTTAGGAGTAAATGTAGAACTACCTCCTCCATACGAGGACTGAAGTTTGGGAGTTGTGCAGTGGGAAAATGCACGTGGTTTGCTAAGGCAGTCTGCTTTGGTCTCCAGCTTCCACACTATGAGATCATCACATGCCAGTCAAATTGACAGAAAAAAAGCTGAAAGTTCCCTTTAAAACATGATGCTTGTTAGATTAAAATATTTCTTATTAATGTCCTATTCTTGACAACTGAAGGAACACAGTTGTCTGTGAGTGCCCTGCCTTGCTTTGCAGCCCAGACACCAGTTGCAGTTGGTATATTTTACTCCAGATTCAGAGCTGTGGTGACCCTGCCAAATAGTTTCTTAGTTGCATTTAAAAATAAAAAGGCTGTTTAGACATTACAATCCACAGAGGGTCTGAAGTCAGTGTGCCCTAAGATGAATACAAATCACAGACAAAAAGTGTTTTGTTGGGAGGATCACAAATGGAACTGATTACTGCTAGACAGTGTGGATTTCCTTCTGGAGGATGGAGCTGATAGAATTCCTTCCTGACAGCTAGAAATTATAATTGAGTTGGGGGATTTTTTTCTGTGTTTCAAACTTTACCAACCTTCAAAATGAGTAAGAGGGATGGAATCCTAATCAGTCTGCAGTTCTGCCTATAAACCAGGATTTAAAACTAAATATCCATCCAAGTGCCCAGTTCCTGTGGAGGTACTGCTGACAATGTCAGAGCTGTGGTTTTGTCAAGCATTTAACTTCATGTGGCTTAAAGTATCTCTTACAGGTCAGTGACAGAATTCAATTTACAGATTGACCACAGATCTCATTTGGGGAAGAACCGGTTTCATTGTGGCATTGAGTAAAATGGAATGCTCTTTTTAAAATGTTTCCCTACCAAGTCTTTGCTACACATTTAGCAGAACTCAACCTTTGGGAAAGCTCTAAGAGGTTTTCTTAAGAATTATGGATGCATTGGTGAAGAACAACCCCTTCCCTTTGCAGTAGTGTTCATCTCTGATTGCACTACTACTTTTTCCACCCAGTTTTCCCCTTCTTCCCTCTTGTTTGCCTCCTCCTTTCTGCTGCCTACAGAAATCAGACTATGCTTTGCTCGATGATGGAGGAGGGCAGGGAATAGGGAATGATCAGGGTAATGATGGTCTGGTTTTTCAGCCCTCTTTGCTCTTTTGGGACTGATCTACCTTTCTCATGCAGCCAAGGACAGGCCACCTCACCCAGCTGAACTTCCTCCATCTTCCAGGCTACTGAGTTTGGGGGCAGTTTGAGTCAGGATAGGCCTGGAGCTTGTAATTTCTTGATCAGGAAGAATTTCTTCACAGAAAGGGTGGTCAGGCATTGCCGAGGGAGGTGGTGGAGTCCCCATGCCTGGAGGTGTCCAAGGAACAACTGGATGTGGCACTCAGAGCTCTGGGATGTATTTTCCAGCCTTAATGATTCCGTGAAAGGCTGACTTGGCTCTGGAAATAACTATGGTGTTAGCCTAAAATAGAAACAATTTGAGTGTTTCCCTAGCAGTCATGAATGTCACATTTTTATGCCATGAGTTACCTCTCTTTTTTAATTAAAAGTAAATTTTTTAATTAAAAGTAATTCCAAGGAATGACTTAGTCCCAGTGATAAGTGGGGTTTGCCCTGCCTTGGAAGGGCTGTGCTGGACAGGATGGGTGTAGCTTTCTGCAACTTGCCTACAAAGCTAAATAAATGCAAAGCAGCTTATTGCTCAATTATGCTGACTTTAGCAACTAGGTAGGACAAATTAAAAAAAGAAAAAGAGAGTATCTAGTCTCAACCTGGGTATTTAATGGGTCCCAAAATGTGCTGAACTCTTTAGTCTAAATGGGCTCTTTAGTGTGGTGTCAAATAAGTTAAAAAGCAAGGGAGCTTTACAAAACTGCCTTCATTGTTTAAACTTGTCTCACACGTTAAGGCTAATGTACATTTATTCAGACTGACAAAGTGCTGAATTTACACAACAGGGATAGTAATAATTAGGTCAGATACTTTTTAAATGGGGGAGAAGAGGAGGGTGGAAATACTTGACTCTTTTATGCTTATGAATGGAAATGATTATTAGCACTGGCCAGGCCAGTGTGCTGTTCTCACCCCCATCGATTCCCTTTCACAGCCAGTGCCCGTCCCTGCTCCCACCCTGTCTGCTCCAGCTGCCAGTCAGGCTTTGCAGTACATGTTACTTGTGAGAACACGGTATTCCTAATGTGATTAACATGTATTTTTAGTGAGCCCAGAACTGTCCTTTGAAGTTGGTCTCCTCATCCCTGCTGGGATCTGACTGGGACCAATAAATTACATTAACAAAATTGAAAACTCGGTCATTATAACTGCATTGTCTGTTCAAGCTGATGAAGTTGAGCTCTAATCTTTCACTTAAGGCTACCCAGTTCTTATATATTTATTGTGTTTACCTTAATTGTTCACATCCCTGCAGTCCCAGGTGAGAAGAGGTGTCTGTACCTTGCACCTTTCTCAGATATTTGGTGTTGGTGACCCCTAGGACAGAATCCCGGATTAGTTAGTCCATGGAGCTCATCCAGCACAGCAGGATTTGTTTCTCCAAGACTGTTTTTTCTTGTCTTTCCTAATATTTGAACAAGCACTCTTGTTTAATTCAGTGAAACAGAATCTGCTTGCATTTGAATTGTGGTCGGCAGCGGGCATGCTGGGCTGGTTGGATCTCTTAAGCTGGAGCCATTTACTTTCCCACTGAGATTTAAGCTACTCCAACCTCATTTGGTTTGCATGTCCCCATTCTTTTAGGAATCATTGAACACTCTCCATCCCTCCCGACTGGCTGCAGCAGGGAGGCTGGGCACAGCCAGCCTGGCATTCTTGTGTTTTCCGTAAAAAGAGCTGGAATTTGACTGAATGGGGGAAGATTCAACTTCCCCAGCTACCTCAACTACCCTGAGAACAAGCACCTGTA